TAACGAGAACTATAAAGCTGTACAGATGTAGCCAGATCTAGAAGCATGTATCTTAATTCATAAAAATCTTAAATGAAACTGTATGTTGAGACCATTTTCTACTAAATTGTGAGAAAAGTTCAATTGAGGCTTTTATGAATTATGCAAAAATGGTTGTACATTTCCAATAGAACGCTGACAGCAAAAGTACAAATTTCATCACATGTATTAATTTACTGAACTCATTTCTAAATAATTTATCCACATAATAGAGTCCAACTCTAGTCTGGTCTAAGTGCTACATTAAAGCCATGATTCAATGTAAGAACATAACACGTAAAGTTTGTCTATTTTCAGCTAAGTCTGCTATTATAGATACATCTAAAATTGTCATCTTTTAGATTTAATAATTGTATATTTTTGTAATTTAAACTGTATCCCTTTTTAAGCAGGCTTTTTACATCGCCGGTTCCTGTATGTCCCAAATTTATTGCATCACTTGTTGTAGCTTTCAAAACACAACAAACATATTTAAAGGTTAAAGTGTATTATGAAAAGTATGTTCATATTATACCATACATTCAACCACCTTATATGAAAAGCACATTTGCGCTAGTACTTGTTTCCCTGGCCTCTCAGCAGTACATTTGACACTATACTATGTATATTGCTGAAATAGTTAATTTTGTCTTCACTTTCACAATCTTGAAATCACATGTGCAGTAAACGTGTTTTCCTTGCAGGCAATGGTAAAATAGTGACACCAACTGTCGGAATTGGGTATTTCTACTACTTTGTTTTGATAAATAATTTTACCCACAATCCTTGTATAGAGTGCTTTTCTCCCCGGCCACATTTTTGTTTTCATAACAATAAGTTATTTCAAAATAATTCATATGAATTAAAAGCACTGTCATATAACATAAAAATGCCCTATTGCATTTTTTATAATTTACAGAGTAAATTACATTTTGTTTGCCATGGTGTGTATGTCAGAGGGGTCATCTAATTAACTAATTCCCTTACTTATAATATAGATACATAATACTGCATTACTTCATACCTGTTTCTTGCACTCTTCTAAAGTGCAGCACTCTACTCTCTCCTCCAGCTCTGCTTCACTCTCACCTTATTTGATTGCTATTTCCTGTCCTAATGTGTTTTATACCCCACCTCCTATAGACTGTAAGCTCGTTTGAGCAGGGTCCTCTTCAACCTATCGTTCCTGTAAGTTTTCTTGTAATTGTCCTATTTATAGTTAAATACCCCCTCTCATAATGTTGAAAAGCGCTATTGAATCTGTTGGCGCTATATAAATGGCAATAATAATAATAATAGAGCTGCTGGGCAGCAGTATGTGAATACATGCCCATCGCACACTGGAATCCATAAGTGTGAATCTGTTGGCCCTATATAAATGGCAATAATAATAATAAGTGTGATATTAAGAAAAAACACAGTGGAAGATAAGTTAAACAAAATGTTAGGGAGTTTCCTCTGTACAAGAGATACAGCCACTCCAGACAATTGTTTGAGTCTTACTTAGCTATGTCAATGATGTGTAGTGGATATCCAAGGGTCAAACTGAGCAAGTGTTCGACTTTTTGATCGCCTTTATCATTCACGGAAACCCTAGCCACATGCACATAAGTTTCATGTATACTAGCACATGAGGTTTGTGTATACACTGTGCTGGCATAATTAACTGCCAGTTTATCAATTAAAAGATGTACTTTTTTGAAGTTTACTTCTCCTTCTTCCGTAAAACAGGAATGAATGGGGTGGCTGCGTCCCTGTCCTCCCTCCGTCTCCCCTCTTAATGCAAAATGCATACACTGTAAGAGATTTATCAACGTGTTCTATTCTAAAAAGTGGTGCAAAATGTAAGAAGAAGAGTCACAAGTGGAATATTTTTTAAATCATTTGACACTTTTCTTGATCCCTCGATTTGGGACCTCCTTTTCTGATATATCTAAAGCTGAAGTTTCCCTTTCCATAACAGATACATCAGTTTTCTTAGATAATGCTCTCAAACAATGACTTCTGACTAAAGACAGGAGGAACTGATGTCATTTATACAGAAGGAGGAAATCCATCATCATTGGTGATATTAGCAAAGAAGGCCGCAACTACGTTCAAGCATAGTGGTTCGTGTTAGATTGTCCTTGATGTTCTGTCATACCGATACTGCTGATGCATGCACTCTCTGGTCTGATTCTGTTTTTATTATTATTTTACTCATGTACAGAATTTATACTTAGACCATTATTCATCAAGCAATTGCCAAATCTATAAATAATCATTATATTACATTAATGAATACCTACACTAAAATGATGGTGTATTTGCACAGAATACGTGCCCTCGTTCATAGCAGACAGTTAAAAAAAAGCTTACTCAGTAAAGTTCCCTCTTATGATGTTAAATTGTAGCATTTTCAATAATCCTTTAATGGCACTGTCACCTTCAACGTGCAACTTAACAAACAAGGAGATTTATGATACCAACTTTGAAGATACCTCCACTAATCTGCTGCAAATTAAACCCTCACCCTATGAGTCAGACAACAAAATCTTATCCAAACACGTGGAGGCAAACAAAGATATTGCCATGCTTTATGCCTGTACATTTCAACAAGACAAAGTGTGTACTTTGAAGGTGAGATCTCGGAATTCTACATGCACTATATATATTAGTTTTAAAGTCACCTTTTTTTTTTTATAACAGGCATACGCACAATTATAACCATATCATATCTCTGGCAACTCATGAACAGGGATTATGTTGACTTTTTATATATATATTGTTAGGCCAGTACATTTTTACAGGCTACAAAATGAATTGGTCTGTATTTATTTATTAGGTGAGATAATAAAAATGTCCATTGACAGCATGTAGGTTTATAATTGGTGATATTAAATTCAGCTATAGACCTATACTATCTAGGGTACAAAGAGTTACAAGTTGACATGCTATTGCCCATTGTGATTGCTCCATATTTATCACTTTGCTCAAGAATAGCACAATTTTTTTTGCAAAATATCTCCTATGTTTCTAAATGGTAAGTGCTTTAACTAAAAATAACCTCCATTGAATGTTCTAAAGTTATATATTTTAAACAGGAAGGAGAATTATTGAGTTTATTTTTATCTTGGGATTACCCTTTATGCGGTTTTATATAACTGCACTTAGTGATTCTGTTAAATTACTAAATCTCATTTTTATTTTTGCTTTTTAATTTTTTAAAAAATATGAATTTCCCTACAATAAGATTTTCAGAGACACTCTAAATGTTGCCATAGTATCACAAATGACATTTGTTCATATTCTCATAAGATAAAACATGTCAAATGGCAATGACCACCAAAATTCACCTTTTTTTTCAATATTTAACACAGAAATTTTACATTTTGTCAAGTATTGGCACCTTAAAAAACACCACAGATTGAGCAAATAGAGTTTTCATGTGTCATGAATACTTCACACTTGTGGTGGTAAGTAAAATTTATAGCCTAGGACTTTTTAACCAAGAAGTCAAACCACTTGCTAATGGTTTGAGTTTTTAAATAGGGCCTGATGGGCGCTACTCCCTGTTTCCTCTGTCAATACTGAAAGCTGGAAGTTCATGCTAACAGCACCAGCTGATCACTCTCCACCAGTGAGCTCGGCTCTGCATTGCCAGGTTTAACTCAGTGAAGAGAAGTAGTGTAGTGCTTCTGTATTCAGTATCTGCCATAGTATATACATTTATGTACAGTCATGTAGAAAAGAAAGTACACCTTCTTTGAATTATATGGTTTTATATAATAAATATAATAAATCTGTTCCTTGGCAGGTCTTAAAATTAGGTCAATACAACCTCAGATGAACAACACATGACATATCACACCGTGTCATGAGATATTTAACAAAAATAAAGCCAAAATGGGAATGCCACGTACAGAAAAGTACACCCAAACCAAACGTGACTCTGTGCATTATGGCTAAACATCTCCACTTTGGTACTTGGGAGATCAGAGGACATTGTTCCAGAAGTCTTGTGGTTTGTTCAGATGCAGCTTTTCTAACTAGTGCTTCTCTAAGATCGTTGCCGATGTCTTTCCTCCTTGACATTGTGGTAACAATACACCTGAACGCTCCAGACCAGCAAACTGCTAAAACTTCAGGTTTTGTATGCAGGTGGTCACACTTGCTGATGATCAGTTAATCAAGGGCATTTGATTAGCAACACCTGTCTGCTACTTATCCTCTTAATTCCTATGGAAACAGTAAAGGTGTACTTTGTTTTTTACACATGGCGTCTCCCTTTAGGGAGTAATGAGTCATGTGTTGTTGTCCATCTGAGGTTGTATTCAGGGCCGGCGCTACCATAAGGCAGCCCAGGCTGTCGCCTTAGGGTGCACCGGCCCTGGGGGCGCAATGTCAGGTTGACTGGTTACTTCTTGAAGCGTGGCCTTCCCTACCCTCAGCGCAGCACAACAGAGCCCAGTCTCTTCCTGCCCGCGGAGCCCAGCCTCCTACCAACCCACCCAGCCTCCTATCCTGATGTCTGCTGCAGGCTGTGTGGAGGGGGCGGGGATATGAATCACACCATATCCCTGCTTCCTATGTACCACACAGCCGGCTGGCGCCCAGTGATGTGGCTGGGAAGCAGCAAAGGAATCCACGGAGCCGGACAGAATGCACCCCTGGGACCTGTCTGTCCAGTCGGTATGTAATTATGACTGTCTATGTGTGGGGATGTATGTATGTGTGTGTATGTATGTATGTCTCTGTGTGCATGTATGTCTTTGTATGCCTGTATGTATGTATGTCTCTGTATGCCTTTATGTATGTATGGATATCTCTGTATGCCTGTATGTATGTGTGTCTCTGTATCAATCTTTGCCTGTGTAGCTAAAAATCCTTGCACCAGCCCTGGTTGTATTTACCTAATTTTAAGACCTGCTAAGGGACCGATGATTGTTATTGTGTCCTGATATGTAAAACCATAGTATTCAGAGGGTGTACTCTTGACTGTATATATAAATGTTGTGGAAATGAGATATTGACATATTTTTTTAGCTAGTAAAATGCCTATTTACTCCATTTAGTTATACTCAGTATTATTCAATAAATTACTAAACTGACCACTAGATGCCACTCAGGAATACCCCACCCATCGACCAAACACTCTCATTTTCAAGATGGCGCTGGAATTCGGGGGAGAACTTCATGACGACAGTAATGACATAAGATGGCACACCCAGTAGGACGTGCTTTGAATAAAACACTTAACACAACCAATTATTGATGTATTATTTCATGTTATCTCTGACAGTGCTTATGATGTAATTGTGCTTTATAAGGGACATGTCGTCCCCCCTGAATAAACATTCCAGAGTATTTCATCAACCGGGAAACGTGTCTGGTGTGATTTACTTTGGAAAGCATGCATGCACCATAACCAATTTGGACAGGGGCAGATACACAAAAATAATCAATTGATTGAATTGATTTCCACTTCAATAAATATATATATATATATATATATATATATATATACATATATATATGTGTATATATAGTGTAGATTGAATTAGCTGTATTAGTCCAGTAGACAAGATGCCAAAATACCAGAGTATTGCAGTATTGCTTCAGACCTGAAGAAGAGAGGAAAACTCTTGAAAGCTTGTCTTTGAAATATTATGTTAGTCCAATAAAAAAAGGTATCATTGCATACTGCAATACTCTGGTATTTTGGCTATATATATATATATATATATATAATGTATTCATTTAATTTTAGAGAGATGAACAATTGTAGGTGCCCTCTGGCAAAGGTGGGAGACGTGTGTGTGTGTGAGTGTGTGTGTTAGTTAGGATCGTTCCAGTAACATGTTCTTTGTCATCTTCTGGTGCCTTATGAGTTAATTCAGTTGGTGCCAGACATGTCTTGTATGTTTTTTAGCAGCCATCCAGACGTTTAAGAGCTTAATTAAATAAATAAATAAATAAATAATATTAACATATTCTATTTAGTTTACTTTTCTCTCCTCCTGGTCTGTAGGGGTTAAGCTTTTGTGGTCAACTGTTGTTTTTCACCTGCCATACGGAGTCTTAAAGTACAGCACTGTAATGTCTGACAAGGCTATTAAAACCCCCCTGGTAACGTTATTAGTATGCTTGTTTGTATCACTCCATCTACAACAAATAAAACCAAATATACACAGCAAATCATTTCCACGCCACTTAAGTAAAAGTTGTGTCTAGACAGAGTTTTCTTTGAAAAGTATTAGCAAGAATTCAAACAAATAAATAGATAAGCTCTTTCCATCTCTTTCATCATTACCTGCCTAGACCATGTTACAAAGGTCAACATGTTTGAAACTCTTGACTTTTTCTTTCCTGGAATTATGATGCATCATAATTGGTAGGTTTTCCTTAACCTACATTATAAAATAGGTCAAAGAAATACGAGAACGATATATTGGGGGAAATAGAAAACAAACAAAGCAAAAAAACGGAAACCTGTAGAGAAACAAACTGTATTACATATTATCATCTGAGTTTGATCAACTTTAGTTTTGCTTTGCTTTGTATTGCAACCTATGCTGTGTGCTTGCGCACAAACAATTGACAAAAAAAAAGCCATCAAAGGAAAGAACGAAGAAATTTAATTTAAGCAGTTTTAGTGCAAAATTATTTGGGGTAATTTATGTGCTGTGTTCTTTTTAATCATTCTAGTCTAGAGGCTATCATTAAGAAAAATAGCAGTATCATCACAATTGATTTATATTACTTGGGAACGTGGATAGATGCTCTTTAATTAGGGTATACAAGGGAGTGGAGTAAGAAATGTTAGTTGTCCAAGTTGGGGAATGTAGACATGTGTAGGGTGTAAGGCTTCTGTTGGCCCTTTGGAATCACAACCTGTCTTTGGCTTAATCATCCTGTGTTGTATGGTCTGAATTTGCTCTGAACCATGGCAATCTCAAAGCCAGTTGACTTAACTGGGGATAATTAATTGAACCAAGATTCACTAGAAATTATTAATTACATATTCCAAGTGAATTTATCTAAATGCAACTGAGAATGGGTTAATGTTACTGAAAACCTACGGTGTGATACTTTTGTTTTTTTTAGGGATGTTTTTTTTCCATCTCAGAATTTTTTTTAAAAAATCCTTAATATCATATGTAATGATTTTTCTGTAAGAACTCATAGCACATGCACAGGTGAGATTTTAATGCAATAAGAAGCATGATTATATCATTAAAACTGTATTAGAAGCTGAAGAACTTCCCAGAGATTTTATGAATGGGCATGCAGGTGTGGTTGCAAAATAATATATATTAAACGTCATAGCTCCAGACTTTGCAGGTCATTTAACTTTACTAAAGAAGATTGCCAAAATGATCCCTCTACAATGCTCAATCTATATATTGCACCCTGATATTCCAAGTTTAGCATCACCACATACTGAGCAGGGGATTTCTTTTTTTTTTAATTCAATCTGCTTTTATTGACGTCATAACGATTGGCAATACAAAGTTATATGCATCAAAACAGAAGGTGACAATAATAGTGTACATGTCAGTTATTGTTCATTCGGTATAAAAGGTATCTTCAATATTTATATGAAGAGAGCAATTTTACAATGCAATAGCGAGCATCTGATTCCATTCCTACATTGCAACATCTTTCAGCATTAACAGTTTTCAAAAAGGAACCAGTCTTAGGAAAATAGAAAGAGAACATTTAAAAATACAAAATCGTTTTGAGAAAACTATGCAACATAACAGGAGAACGATTAATCTTCCTTATATTGTACGAAAGGAAATACAGGTATGGATAAATAAAATTTCCTACTGGAGTTCGCCACGCTCACAAGTTTCAGACATGAAAGCTGTAGAGAACACTCAGATTCAGTCATTTTATTAATTGGTATGTTTGTGTTGGGAAGCAGATAAACTGTGAAAAGGCAAAAACATTAGTGCTCCTGCTGTGGAGCAGGGGATTTCTATGCTTCTTCCGTCTTGCCACCCCAGCGTATATCCCAACAATTCCATACTATCTCACTTTATTTATGTCCTCTTTTGTGAGTAGTCCTATGCCATTTGAAGTTGAGATAATCTTTTTGAAGGATGCCCAGTTCCTTTCACTGGTGTGCCCATCTGTTTTTTCTAACCAACTAACTAACTAGCTAACTAACTAACTAACTAACCCTTTACTAACGGAAGTTTATACTTTTATTGCTGTTCATATTTCTGCCTTTCCAGTAATGGTAGTGGAGGCAGGAAGTGGGGCCTAGTGGGCCTAGGTAAGAAGTCAAACTGTTAGATCTAGACAAAGGCATTTTTTAAGCAATGTCAACAAAAATATGAATCAAATATCATTAGTTGTGGGTGATGATGTAATTAATGACATTTTTGTCATTCCTTTCCATTTTCCATGGCACACTGAGGCCACAAATCCCAAAACAGCTGCTCAAAGTGCAACATTTCTCTATATAAATAGTCCAAATCCCTTTTGTGATCATAAATTCTTAAGAAGTTGCCATGTGTTCAAATCCGTTTCTCCTTTTTAAAATGACAAGCTCCTTTAGTGTACTGGTATTTCATGTATGTTCTCAAACATGATTTAAGTTCAGGCTATACAATTTAAAACATTACTAAGTGCTGGTGGTTCATCCATTAGCTAACAGAGTTAGATGCCCTTAAGCTCAATCTTTAAAACATTTAAATTCTATTAAACTGTTAAAAAGTCCAAGAACCCACTAAAGTGCTCTTTAGTATATGTACTGAGCTTTGTTAGCCAGTGAATTGATAGCCTGAATACATATACACAATAAACTCTTGGAATACTCAAAAAAATGCAAATGAAAATATCAGAAACATACTTTTATCTTTAGTTGTATCTTTAACAAGTACTCAGATAAATCAGTGTGCCTCTTACATTTTTTGCATCATTTGTATTTTCTAAGGATTCTGCTTTGTGAGCTATTACATATTTATTGCATGCAAATTAATGTTGTACCTTGCTTTTATGATGCAGATCGCCTTATATGTTTGATGTAACTACGGCCTGTTGTAGTGGTAATGGTGGTAGGAGTACCCTGGCCCCAGTTAATGGGGCAAACCGTTTGTTATGGATTACCATCTTACCGGAGAGCACCAGCTAATCGCACTCATCCAATGATTTAGCATCTGTGCAACTCTTGTCCCAGGCAGGCAAATGACTCCCCAATGTTTCTGCTGGAGGTGGAGTTACGACTCGGGTAGCAGAGTGAAACGCTGCATATACAGACTAGTGGCTGACTTAACTCTTTAATTGTACAGGTAAGCTAAAATTCTAAGTTGTAATATTGCTTGGGAGAGTCTTCCTCCCTTTTGCTCCTGTTAACACTTACAGTGTTACTCACTTAAGTGAGAAATTGACATGATTTCAAAGGTAATTTCAAATTTAAGGCCAAAGTAGCTGTAGTGATAATTTTTCAATTTCGGCCACTTTCACCTTAAATTTGAAATTCACTTTGAATTCACACTTCAGTGAATAACCTTGTTATTGTTCATCTGTTATTTACTGCTTTAACAAAATCTAAATTAATAATGAAACAAACTACATACAATGAGGGGAAAAGTATTTGATCCTTTGCTGATTTTGAACGTTTGCCCACTGACAAAGAAATAATCAGTCTATAATTTTAATGGTAGGTGTATTTTAACAGTGAGAGACAGAATAACAACAACAAAAAATTCAGAAAAACGCACTTAAAAAAAGTTATAAATTGATTTGCATGTCAATGAGTGAAATAAGTATTTGACCCCTTCGACAACAAAGGAGTAGCTCAAAAAGAAGCACATTAAGGTCCTGGAGTGGAATAGCCAGTCTCCAGACCTTAATCACATAGAAAATCTGTGGAGGGAGCTGAAGGTTTGAGTTGTTAAATGTCAGCCTCGAAACCTTAATGACTTGGAGAATGGAGAGGATCTGCAAAGAGGAGTGGGACAAAGTCCCTCCTGAGATGTGTGCAAACCTGGTGGCCAACTACAAGAAACGTCTGACCTCTGTGATTGCCAACAAGGGTTTTTCCACCAAGTACTAAGTCGAAGGGGTCAAATACTTATTTCACTCATTGACATGCATTTTTTTTTGTTATTCTGTCTCTCACTGTTAAAATACACCTACCATTAAAATTATAAACTGATCTTTTCTTTGTCAGTGGGCAAACTTTCAAAATCAGCAGGGGAACAAATACTCTTTTCCCTCACTGTACATGTTAACCATAATGAAATTAGTTGGAGACACTATTTTCACAAGTTTTTTTCATTCTTGATTAGTGATCCATAAATATTTTTTTGACTCTGCATGCATTTTATTTTGCAGAAACTTTGTATGGGTCTATTTTCATTCCAACAAG